GGTGTACTCTGTGTTTGAAGCTGTGTGTGGCATTTTGCTTTCTGAGGGGTTTTTCTGTCTTTCAGAAAGCTTTAGGGAGCTGTGGAGTTTATCAATGGGCCAGCATGGGCTATCAGTTGTACATTGCAGGGAGTGGAGGATAAGGCTGAGTGAGTTCATCCTGTTATTGCTCAGAGTTCAGACATGCTGTAAAATGTGAGTGTCATTGTATGCTGGGCTAGGGAGCTGGCAGAGCACTCACAGCCTCAGTGCTGTTTTCCTGGCATTGTTTCTCCTGTGTAATAAATATCCCTGCACAACCACAGCAGTAAACATGCAGCTTTGAAGTAGCTGAGCTCCTCCACAGCCCCATGCCTGGCAGGCTGGGATCAGTCTTTGCAGACATTTGCCAACACCCCTGTGTGAATGTCACTACAAATAATGCTGCAAGGAGCTGCTTCTGCTACACTGGGTCTTTGAACAAAGCTGCATTTGGGTGAAAGAGACTTGGAGCAATGTGTAAAAATGGGTTTTTTATGCAGTGAAGTCATGTGAACATACAGAAATTATTGTACTGTTACAGACACCCCACCTTTTAAAGGTGGCTTAAAAGTGCCTGGTTCACCAAAAGGTGAACTTGAAGAGTTTGGATGATTTCAAATAGAAATTGTTGAGTAAAATAGATTGAGACAAACCTGGATTTTTGCAAAGTAATGGCCTGTGTGTGTATGTAAACTTGGAGCACACAGGTAAGCCTGCTTGCCAGGAGAGGCAGTTTGCCATTATATATTTTTGGGAGGAATCAGGACCTCCTATCAGGAAGGTGTCTGTTGGATTTTTTTTTTAATCCCTCCATGATATCCATATCAGTTCCAGCTGGCTTTTTCTCTTATGGGTTATTAATGCTTGAGGTATGCAAGTGCTTGGTATAGATGGGAGTGTAACAGGATCCAGGATTTTATGGTGTAGCTTATTGACTTAGGGGAAACTGCACTAACAGAGGCTTTTTTTCCCTTCATCTGGTTTAAGAACTTTTCTGGAAAAGCTGTTTCTAGAGTAAACTCAGTGGGAAGTAACACCAATAAAAAAATGACAGCACTGCAACGTCTCTTCAGGCTGGAGAGTCGATTGACCTGTGTTGAGTTTTCCTTTGCAGTGTTGTTTTTGCCTTTCCCTTGCTTTTTAGTTTTTGGGGAGAATAATTGAGGCTGTGGGAGTAGAAGGAGCTCCTGAGAAGTGGTTTGCTGTGTTTGGGGAGGAGAATCTTTCTAAGGCTGCCCCAGGACAGTGTTTGAGCCTCCCTCCTCCCTGATGGAGGGAGGCTTAAAACCGAGGCTGTATTTTTACAGCTGTTGTGGGAGCTTTTTCCATTTAACACAGCGCAGATGTGAATGATAAAATAGAAATTGAAGATTAATGTACACCATCTTGCTGTGTGAGAGTTTCAATTATAGGCAGAGCAAGGAGAATAATGGAAAATACATTTGAGTGATCGCTCAGTTAATACAATTTGCAATGAATTATTCACAACAATTTGTTCACCCAGCTCTTATTGCCATCATTTTCGTTCCTTCATTTGCCATGCTTTTGGAACTGCTTCCCACAACTTGTGCTGGATGTGTAATGAAGAATCTCCAGGCACCCAGCCCCTGCTCCCCACCTGCCTCCACCCACGTGCAGCTCTGACAGGGCTCAGCAGTTTTGGCCCTGAGCTCTCTAAGAAGTTAATCAGGTGTTAGTGTGCAGCCTGATGCTGCTCAACGCACTGATGTGACCCCAAAGAGCCCCTTCTGTGGGGCTCAGGGGCTCTCAGAGGGCTCATTTCTGCGCTGTTCCATGAGCATGGGGGATTGTCCTTCCACCAGAGCAGGCTGAGGCTTGAGCTGACAGAAGGTGATCAGCTGGGGCTGGGTGATTAATCTGTGTCCTTGGGAGTGAGGGTTTGCTTCCTACCTGGACAGCATCAGTCATGCCTGGAGGTGGGGTGGAAGGTGTGGGACACCAGCAGGGTTTGGAGAGAGAAGCATTTTGCACGCTCAGGTCGCTGTGACTGATGCTGTGTGTGAAGCAGCAGAGCAGATCAGTGCCACAGGTGAGGGCCCAGCTCCCAGCACTGCACAGCAGCACAGATGAGCCCCCCTTTCCTGTTCTTTGGGCACTGGATAACCCACAAATGCACATTTTCTCCTGAAGTTTATCAGAAAGGAGGACTTATTTTTCCTGGCTGTTTGGGAAGGGCTGTTCCTGGGTGGTGGGCATGGAGAAGGTGTCCAAATCCTCTCTCCATGTGCCTCTGCAGCTCACAGAGGGAGAGGGGGTGATGGAGCTGCTCTTTGCCACCCCATGCCCTGATGCTGGGCAGGAATGGGGCTGTGTTCTGCTGGGAGCTTGGGCAGGAGTGGGGCTGTGTTCTGCTGGGAACTTGGGCAGGAATGGGGCTGTGTTCTGCTGGGAGCTTGGGCAGGAGTGGGGCTGTGTTCTGCTGGGAACTTGGGCAGGAATGGGGCTGTGTTCTGCTGGGAGCTTGGGCAGGAGTGGGGCTGTGTTCTGCTGGGAACTTGGGCAGGAATGGGGCTGTGTTCTGCTGGGAGCTTGGGCAGGAGTGGGGCTGAGTTCTTCTGGGAACTTGGGCAGGAGTGGGGCTGAGTTCTGCTCTGAACTTGGGCAGGAATGGGGCTGAGTTCTGCTCTGAACCTGGACTGCTGGGCAGGAATAGGGTTTGTTGCCCCCTGACCCTGTGCTGCCCTGAGCCCTGAAATGCGTTTCCTAAGCCCTGAAATGCAATCTTCAGTTTAGGACTGGACAGAAAGCAGTCTGATCTCTTCTTCGTGCCTCATTTGCCTGGACTCAGCGGTACCACATCCATGCCTGGCTGCATTATCTGACTTTTCTAAGCCCTTTTCTGGTGTCCTGTGGCTGCCACTCCTCAGTGTATTGGGAGGTTCTGGGCAATAAGGTGAGCCTGTCCTGAGGGCACAAGGGAGCCACGGGGAGGTGCACTGGGAGCACGAGGGCTGCTGCAGGGGTTAGGGAAAAATTCAAAGCTTCTTTAGGGTAAGATTAAAACTTCTCTGAATCTTAACCCTTCAGGGCCTCTTACAAGCTCTGTCAAGCCATGATCACAGTGCCTTTGACACAAACCCTGTAACAAGCTGGGATTTATGCTGCTGCTTCTTCCCATGGAGAGACAGCACTTACAAGGTTAATTTGCCAGCATCTACTTGTCCAAATCTCCATAATCAGGCAAAACATGATTATGGAGCTGTGTGTCATTAGTACACAATGGCACTTAACTGACTGAGATTGAATTAAAACCGTAATGGCAGAGCATCCAAGGTAAATAAGAGACAAGCAGACTCACTGGTGGATGACTTGTCTATCACTCAGCTTGGATTAGGAGAGCAGGAGCTCAGGGCTGGCCAGAAACAGTAGAAGCAGAGTCATTAAATTGGATATACTGGCTGAGGTTCAGTGCTCCTATTACTGTTCAGCATGCAAGTGTTGGGGCTGTGAGTGCAGTGTGGGCGTGGGCTTCCTGCACTGGCCTTTGAGCTGGGAAAAAATAAAAAGGCTTTGGGTTCACTGTGGTGCTGGGTGAGTTTTGTCTTTGCTGTATTCTGATTTTTTGTATCAGTTTCACCAAGCAGGTGTCAATGCCTTGAAATTATTTCCAGCAAAAGTAAATCCAAGCATTCATTTTGAGTTGGGTGAAACAACTCTGTGATGTGAAGTGTTTTATTTCACTTCTGTCTGGTTTTGCCTTCCTTTGCGATAACGTCAGAGCAGCGGCTTCCAATCAGAATTTCACTTTGCTTTCCATTTGCCTTTCTTGTAAGTGCCTTTTCCAGATCTTTTAAACAAAGCCTCATAAATCATCCCTGATGTCATGGTGGGTGTGTTTTCCATGTTGTGTTTTGCGTGCCAGAAGTGCTGTGTCCCCAGGGACAGCGCTGCAGATGGTTCTCCCTGTGGATGTGCTGGGGGAAGAGCTCCCTCTGACAGCAGGGATCAGAGGCTGCAGGATGCTCTGGAGTGAGCAGCCTTGCAGTATTTTTGATTGCCAGCTCTGAGGGAAGTTATTGCCCTTTTAGCTCTGTCAGTGATCCTGGCTGTGCAGCTCTGGTTGCACTCAGTGCCTGCACGCCTGCCATCAAATCAGATGTGATGTGAATATCTGCTGCTGCTCTGGCCCTGGGGAGGTGATTATGAACCTCTGGCTTGTGCTTGTGCTGTCAGTGACATTTGAGGTAGGAAAAGCATTAGGTAGTGACATCTCTGGGGAAAAAACAGGGAATGAGCAAGGCAACAACAGAAAATGGGCATGGATCATCAAGATCTGTCAGCAGTGTTGAATTTGAAGAGTTTCTGGTGTTGCTATTAATTTATGCCCTCTGCCAAGCTTGTTGCTGTTGCCCTCTGCAAGTTTTTCACCTAGGGGCTAATGACTTTTCATGTATTTCAGAAATTTACATTTGAATGGAATAAATGTTACCCTTTCCCCCCAAAGCAGTGATTAATAATGAAAGCCTCTGGGAAGTTTTCTCCAAACACCCAGCAGCTCAAGTGAAGTGTCCAAAGCAGCCCTGGTGTATTCAATGTGGCAGGGCCCTGAATGCATGGATTACTTCTTGAGGCAAAGCCTCATCCCTCTCATGGTGGGAGGAATCTCTTCCATGGTTGTAACTTGGGACCCCAAAATCCTCTTTAGGCCACAGAGTGCAGAGGTTGTTGCACTCAGGCATTGTGAAGCACACAAAAAATGGAGACTGTTCCAGCACAACTGAAGGAAAATTGTAACTGTGCAAAGTCTCCTTTGGAAGGAGGTTGGGGGAAAATTGTGTGCTGGTGCTCTCTGCTGGATAAAGCCAGGAAGGCTCTGCTCTCACTGCGGTGACAAGCCAGCACTGATGATTTCACACTGATGGTGTGAAATGCATTGCCTTGAACCTGTCCAGGGCTGGCTGAGAGCACGAGATGTGGCAGGGTGGCTGCTCTGACTCTCCTCTGTGCTTGCCTTGCAGTGTGTTACCTGCTGAAGAGCAACATCAGCCCCGACCTGTGCAATGAGGATGGATTAACTGCGCTGCATCAGGTGAGCTCACTCCTCCCTGATGCCCACTCAGCCAGCCTGGCCAGGTCTAACTGGGACACCTCTTAGATTTCTTTTTCCCCCCTCTGTTAAAGCAGTGAAACCTCACCATGTTGTGCTGGCAATCCGGTTTCTTGGGGAGCAAACTGAGATCAAATAATTTTCTTGCTATCCCAGACTTTATTCAGTAATAAGAGCTCAGGGTCAGGGCTGGACTTCACATGTGAACAGCATTTCCCCCACTCTTTAATTTTTGTAGGTAGGACTGGGCTCTAAATTCTCATAAAAGATAAACTGAAATTTAATGACCGTGGCAATCCATGAGTTTTTGAAAGTGATTTAAATAAATGATGCACAAGGTGCTTGAAGAACCCGCTGCTGCTTGCTGTAGGGACTTCTAAAGTCAGTAAGAGATGGGAGCAGTTGGTCACCAGTGAAATACAGACTTGCTATAGTGGTGAGTAGGTCTGTGGCCTTCCTTGGAGCCCCTGTGCTGTTTCCATAAGGGTTTTTCTATTCTTTCTCAGGCACGTGGGACTGGCCGTGCCTGGCAGCTGCCGCCCCCACTGCTGTAACAACAGTGGTGTGGTTGTCACACCAGCACTCAGGGCTTTCTGGCCAGAGCTCCCTGCTCTGAATGCCTCCATTGACTTGGGATTTTGGATTATTGTGCCAGTTGCTTGCTCTCTTCAAAGCTGCATGAATGTTTGTTCAAAAATGCAAACTGGCTCCTGGAAGAACAAAAGGTGCCACCACCATCACCTCTCCTGAGAGATGTTACCCTGCACTCAGAGAGACACTGACAGCCTCCTTGCTTTCCCAACCAGGCTCTGAAGCCTGGAGAATCCCACCCTGCCCACTGAGAGGTTGTAAAGGTGCATTTGGGGGCTCTGATGGGAGCTTTGTATTCACTGGAATTAACTGAATCCCTGAGCACAGAGAAGCCCCTCAGTGGGCACATTAGCATTCCTTCCACTGAATGTGACTTCCTTCCACTTCTGTGATAACTTGGCTGTGTGACAGGCATGACTGTAACCCCACTTCCGTGTACAAACAGTGAACAAAATAGAAATACCTGAAAGGTCCTTGTCACTCAGCTGCTGAAATGTTTGTTGTGTGTTGGAATTCAGCCCCATTAGCAGCCTGTACTGTGTGCTGAGCTGTGTGGGTCTGCAGCAATGCACAGACCACAAACAGCCTTCTTGCACAAGAAAAAATCTTATTTTAATGTCTTTATCACATGCACATTCATGTCTAAAGGTGAACAAGAGGTGGATCAAAGAGCAAATTCCACCTTCACCAAAGGAAGGAGGTTGGTATAGCCTGCTGGGCTATACTCTAAATGCAGGAAGGAAACTGCTTTTTTTTCAGGAAGTGAAAAGTGCCCTGCAAAGTGCCCCATAATTCTGGGAATCCAATTTGTGCCTCCCCAGATAACTGTGGCAGGTAGCGTGAGCTCCTGTGAAGACTTTTGCTCATCACATGCCAGTGTGTGGGATTCTCCCTGAGAAAAGGGAATGTCAGTTTGTCAGCTCATCCCTTGGTATGTGGTTCTACTGGTTGCATTGAATTTCTGCTGTGTTTGCTCTTGAATATGGAAGACCCAGTGGAATAGAAGATGTGCACGTTTGCTGTTATTCCCAGCTGGTTCTGCCAGAATAGGCCCTGGAAAACACCAGTGACCCTTTGGTCTGTCCAGTGTAGGTGTTTTGCCTTTTTGACCTGCTGGTGCTCAATTTGGTGTTTAACCCTGCTGGAGATGCTCCTTGCCAAGCAGTGCAGGATAAAGTAGATCTCCGTATCCAGGTGCCCTTTATTATTTTACAGCTGAGCAGATGTGAACCCTCCTGTTCCCAAAGTTTAGAAAACCCCAATGTTTCTGCATTTCTTCCTGCCCAGTGCTGCATAGACAACTATGAGGACATAGTGAAGCTCCTCCTCAGCCACGGGGCCAATGTCAACGCCAAGGACAACGAGCTGTGGACTCCACTGCATGCAGCAGCCACCTGTGGCCACATCAACCTGGTGAAGATCCTCATCCAGCAGTAGGTGGCTTTTGGTGTCTCTTGGTCCTTTCTGTGAGTCTCATTCTACCCACAGCTTCTGTGGATGGAAAATGAGGCTGTTTAGGACCTTGGGAGGTTGCAGCAGTGGGGGTGATTCCCTGCTTTCAGGCTGCTCATGGGGATCCTTCCTGCCTGGGGGAGAAGGGAGAGAAGGGAGTGAAGGAGTGTCACAGACATCTTTTATGAAAAATCCTTTCCTTAGGATTTTTCCTCCTGAGAAGCTGAGAGGCCTCAGAAACAAAATGTAAACAATGATTATTTGCTGCTGTGGAATGCAACAGGTGCATCTGTGATTGGCCCATGTTGGATGTTTGTAATTAATGGCCAATCACAGTCAGCTGGCTCGGACTTTCTGTCGGAGCCACAAGCCTTTGTTATCATTCTTTGCTATTCTATTCTTAGCTAGCCTTCTGATGAAACCCTTTCTTCTATTCTTTTAGTATAGTTTTAATATAATATATATAATAAAATAATAAATCAGCCTTCTGAAACATGGAGTCAGAGCCTCGTCTCTTCCCTCATCCTCAGACCCCTGTGAACACCATCACAAAGGAGGAAGAGCAGAAGGCTCAGGAGACAACAAAATCCTGGATGACTTGGCTCAGTTTTGTGAAGCTTCTGGAGGCTGGGCCAAAATGTGCCCCTTTTTGCCTGTATTCTGGTGTGTCTGTGGAACTGTGGTCACTGGGTGGGGTAGAAACAGGAACAGCCAGCAGGATCCACTCTCAAGCTCCTAAACAGCACTTCAGATCCAGTCAAGCAGCCCCTGGTGTAGGAGGGCAGCAGTGTGCTTGTGTCACTCAGACACTTGGTGAACTTTGTGACCTCTCTCACTGGGTTTTAATTAGTGATCACCAAACTTCCTGCAAGATTTGATCCCCAGTGGTGACACAGGGTGTTTGACCAAGTCCCTAAAGCTCAAGTCTTGCCAGCAAGGAGGAGGAAACCAGGTGTGTTTTGAGCTGTTTCATGAGCACCTGTGGTTGTGCCTGTGTTGAAGCCCTCTCCTCCCTTTCCCAGAGTGCTGGTGCTTTGGGAGTGTTAACCTGCTGCCTTGCACAGCTGTGCCTGCTGCTTCTCCCTCAGGGAAGGAGACTTCTCCCTGTGGTGCTGCCATCTGGGACATAAGCATTGAAAGTTTGGCTCTTCTATGACTGTTTAATGAAGGAGAGAAGAGGATGCAGTCAAGCATCCCTTGGAGGATGTTCCCACTTGGGTTAGGAAATTTTTGGAGGTTATAAAAATGGAGCAGATGTGGAACACAGGGTATTACTGACTCAGGAAGGAGGTGTAGTGTGCTGCCTTTCATCCAGTTCTGGAATTAATCTTCTCCACTTATAGCTCCACAGCTTTGCTTCAAATCTTTTTTATCTCATGCATACATTGGTGGCATTTGGGCAACTATCAAATCCCAGTTAGTTTTTCCTAAGCATTGATCCCAGAGTTTGGCACTGTCTGCTGCAGGGTGTCTGAGGTCCTTGCTGGTGTAACTCAGTTTTCCCCTTGCAGTGGAGCAGACCTGTTGGCAGTCAATGCAGATGGCAACATGCCATATGACCTCTGTGAAGATGAGCCAACCCTGGATGTCATTGAGACTTGCATGGCCTATCAAGGTGAGGAGGCTGAGTTTATGTAAAATACAGAAATGGGTCAATGTGGTACTAAAAATTACCCTGTTTCTCAGCTCTGATTGGCCTCTGGAGAAAAGCAGAGAGCTGCTCCTGGCATCATTTCTTGGGGCTGGACTTTGGTTATTCTGATTCCTAAAGATTATGAGGGTGAAGGATGTGGGATCATATCAAGGATCCTAAATCTTATTTTACTCAACCTTTCCAACTGTCCTGTTTTAACTGGAATTTGAACAGGGATTACCCAGGAAAGGATCAATGAGATGCGAGCTGCTCCAGAGCAGGTCATGATCTGTGACATTCATGACATTCTTGCCACGGGCCAAGACCTGAACAGGACTGATGCCCAAGGTGCTACGCTGGTGAGTGAAACTGCAGAGGCTTCAGTTGTGCTTTTCCTTCAGCCCAGGGGTTGTGAAACCTGCCCTGGAGCAGGAGCTGCACAAAATCAACAGGCGCAAGTCACTGAGAGGAGGAGTCCCACAGAATATAACACATCTGCTGACCTGCAGGGAACTGGGCCTGGAAGGCCTCCCAGTAACCTCTTGCTTCTCATGGGCTGACTGGAGTGCTGTGGAGGGGATGTGGGAGCCCTCTGGTTTTACCAGGAGCAGGACCCAGTGCTGCTGGGGATTTCCTGCCTCCTTTCTGCTTTGTGTGGCTCTGGCTCACACAGAGTTTCACTGTTTGTTCCCCCTGGTGGCACCTGGCCCTGGCAGAGGTGGGCACCCAGGACAAGAGTGCAGCACAAAGCAAGCTGGCATCTCATTTGTCTGCACAGGGACTGGGAATTCTGAACTATCCCAGTTCTTTTTACCCCACAAATGTGTCTCCTAAATCATATCTTACAGCAGTCCCAGCTTAGGGAAAGTTCAGTAAGGAGGTTAAATGTGCTGTGAATTTCATACAACCATGGTGATTTGATGCTGGGGTCCAGACATAACTGAAATACAGGCACTTGGTTCATGTGTTTGAGGGCCAGGCCACAGCAGGGCATTCCAGTTTCTTAATCTAAATGTCACCTTCAGCATATACCAGAAGTGTAAGGGAAGGGCAGGCTCCCCCAAAGGTAAGCTTGGATGATTGAAGTCTTTATTGCAGCTTAATTTTTAACACACTTTTCCCTTTTACAAGGATTGTAAACATGCATTTAAGCAGACCTCTGGGCTCCCCCTTTTGTATCACCCCCAAGTGATTCCTTATTAATTCATGTGGCCTCTAGAAAGTGGCATAACATTTATGTAGAAATAATTGAGTTGCCAGAGAGCATCAGGATTTATTTCCAGATGAAGTTTTAACCCCATGTGGTGGCATACTCATGAATTTTTTTTGAAAAGAAGCTTTGATTCTCTCATTTAGCACAACTGAAGTAGGAGGAGCTCTGAGTGGAGTTAATCCCTTCAGAGCAGTGCATGGGTCAATGTTTTGCTCAGAGATGCAGCAGCAGACTGCAATTAGGAAAATCTTCAGAGACATGAAGTTGGGGAACTGAAAGAGACCATTATTGATTGTCTCCAAAGTGGTGGCTGTAGTTGGAAGCCAATATCTGAAAAATCATCCTCCCTTAAGTTAAAGTAGCCAAGGTTTAAAATGTTTTTGACTTTGAAATGGTGAAAATGATTACAGTGTGATTGAAAGTGCAATTGCACAGAGAGTCCTGACTAAAGCAGGCTGTAAATTTGATTCAAAAAAATGACATCCACAGCACTTGAGTGGGCAAGAGGAGATGTTCTTCTGGCATAGAGTGGATGATGTTCTGCATTGCAGGCTCATATTCTGATGGTGGTTTCCCTACAGATTGGAAAGCACTTAAAAGCCCCTGATTTAAAATGTGAATACATTATTTTTCTCATCCATATATCGAAGTTATTCTAAGAACTGTTAAGCAATTTCCTCTCCAAACAGAATTACATGCGGGCAATACTGAGCTTTAATAACAGGAACAACCTGCTTTGACCTGGTGCCATCTGCCCAGTGTGAAATGTGCTGCCTGTCCCGCTTTATGCTCAAACATTATCCAAGAAAATCCCCTGAAACTCAATGTATAAATCAATTTGTGGTCCTTGCAGGCAGCTCATGCTCTGTCCCTTATCTCCTAGCTGCATATAGCTGCAGCCAATGGTTATCTGCATGCAGCTGAAGTGCTTCTTGACCAGGGGGCAAGCCTGGATGTGAAGGACTGGGATGGCTGGGAGCCTCTGCATGCTGCTGCTTTCTGGGGACAGGTAAGGATTTTGCTGTGTCACGTGTGAGGGTGGCATTTCTTCCTGCCTGGACAAACAGTGGAGTACTCTGCAAATGGAATAAATCTGAACTGGGGCTGGGCTCTCTGGACAGTATCAGAGGAGATCCCAAGGGCTCCAAAAAGAACTGGTTGCTGAGAAATTTCAGGCAGAGCATGCCAGTGCAAGTGGATGGTGGGAACAGTGTTTAACATCACACACATACCAGAGTTATTTGAGGCAAGCTGAACCTGCCTCTCATCTTATTCCAACCTTTCAGCTTTAGGGAGAAAAGCCTAAATTACCTAAAATACCCCTGTCAACTTGTCTTTCTTTCCATTCTTTAGATGCAGATGGCTGAATTGCTCGTGTCCCATGGGGCTAGTTTGAGTGCCAGGACATCTTTGGATGAGATGCCAATAGGTGAGTTTATGAAGCTTAAAGAAAGAAATGTTTGAGAAGTGGCTGGAGTCTTCACATGGTGCTTTCCAGAAGCATTAACATCATGTTTTAGGTATCCTTTTGGAATCAAAGTTAAAGTTTCTTTAACTGGAGTTTTTAAGCACCTACTTTACTACAGAAGATGCTTCTTCCTGCTCATAAAAAGAAGGAAGAAGGCATATCCCAAGCACCAAGTCTTCCTGCTGTGTGTTTCCTCTGTTATCCCTTGTGCTTGGGAGCCTCCCTGCTGTTGTGTGCAGCCCTAAGACCTGGGTGTGTAACTAGGAAGGCACAATTAGTAACATGGTGTTAATGAGAGTATCTGACAAAGGGCTTGGTCTGTGTGTGTGCCATAGATCTGTGCGAAGAGGAGGAATTCAAAGTTCTGCTTCTGGAGCTGAAGCACAAGCATGATGTGATCATGAAGTCCCAGATGAGGCACAAATCCTCCCTGAGCCGCAGGACCTCCAGCACGGGCAGCCGGGGGTGAGTTCTGCTCTGCCCTGAGGGCACCTGGGCCCCTGGCCTGGCCACCCAGGGGTGTTCTCACCCTGGGGTCAGCGAGAACATCCCATCTGTCCTTTCTGAATGAAGGGCACTAGCTCTCTTTGGTTGATGAAAGCAGAGCTCCTTTGAAGAGTGGTTTTTTCTCTAGGAAGAGGTGCTAATTCTTGGGGGGAAATGGCTTTGTGCTGGTGTGGTTTAACAACTGCCCAGAGCACAGGACCAAATGGTGAGAATTTGCCTTGTTAAAACAGTGAAACTGGTGTTGGAAATCAGTGCTTCAAGTGGATTAACTTGAGCTGCTCAGTCGTATGCCACATAGCCAAGATGCAGTGCTGACACACAGTTTGGAGAGGTCTTTGTGAGATGATTCTGGACACCAAAGCAGTCCTGCACACCACAGAGCTAATTCTTGGGGGGAAACCACCACAAAGCTCCCTAAACAGCCCACGGGCCATTTCCTTCTACATTTACTCCACTGCTTGCAGAATAGATCCATAAGGTGACCTGTATGAACTCTAAAACAAATTTGCAGTGCCAGTTTAGAGCTCCTTAAAATTCCTCCCACCTTCATTATCCACCCCAGTGCCTTCACTTTGTGTGGGTGCCAGGAAGCTGAATCCTCGTTCCATTCCAGAGGGAGAGGCTGTGAGGAGGAGGAGGAGGTGAGAAGAGCTACAGGCTAAGAGGAAATGTCATGTCCTGCTCACAGCTTTGATGGGCCTTGTCCCTGTCCCACAGGAAGGTGGTGAGGAGGGCCAGCCTCTCGGACAGGACAAACCTTTACAGGAAGGAGTGTGAGAAGGAGGCCATGGTGTGGCAGCAGCTGGGGGCAGCAGAAGAAGGAAGAAACTCGGCTCTCATTGGAGAAATTGGGGAGACTCGGTCTGACCAGGAGAATACAGACCCTGTAAGGAATCTCTTCTCTTTCATGGGAGCCACTGAGGAGGGCTGTGGTGCAGCTTCAGTCACAGTGGGTGGAAGGTTGTTGAAAGCGAAGGGAGACGACCCATCTTTGTTGATCAGCATTGAGCTCCGATTTATTGATCTCACTTACACACTTTATAGTGGTGTTAATTAAACTCATGCATATTGCAAAATCTGAGCTCCTCATAGGCTACAGCTAAAACATTAATCCCTCCTTTTGTTTTCAATACCTGTGGTTTGTTATTGAAACCAAGATTTATTTTCTCACCCTGTTATGAAAGTTCTCAAGGCCTCCATGTTATTGAAGACAGGTTTGAGAACTTAGCTGTTTACAGAAACAGGCTGTGAGAAGTTGCTCCTCACAGCTGCCTTTTAAGCCATTTCTGAGCAAAATTCTCCAACAGAAGGTGGCTGAAAAATTTGTAGACGTCATCCACCAGGTGTAAGCAAAAGACCAAATTCTCATTTGGTACAAACTGGGATGTCCCACTCAAGTGGAAAGCCTGTTTTGGATGTACAGCTGCATCCATAGTTTTGAGATAAAAATGAATCAGGATGCTCCAAAAGAATAGTGTCTGCCTTTCATTCTAAAGCCCACAAGCTGGTAAGCACAAAAGAATGGTAAGCTTGCTTTGCAGTGACTTGATTTTAATTAAGTTATTGTCATTTTATGTAGATAAGCATATTATTTTTGTATATGTGTGTGAGGCCTTCAGAGTTAAGGTTTCTGTTTGGGAAACAGTTCCTGGTTGGGGCTGACAGCATTAGTGGGGGAATTCAGTGTTTGCCTGGTAGAAAGGCTGAGTGTGAGCAGACTTAGGAGCTTGTCACAGGTATGAACCCTGCTATGAGGAATGGTAGAAAATGCTCTTTCATGTCTTGTTGTTACAGAACTCAGTGCTGGAGAACTCCTCCCTCCTCCCGGAGCTGGCGAACAAAAGCACCCAGTGTGACACTGAGATCCCTCTGCAGAATGGACTGATGGCATCTGCCAGCCCTTACCAGTACACCTTTTCCAACGGGGACATTTGGAGCATGCACCCTGAGCCCGATAGCAACCCTGGGCACGTTCTGCCCTACAGCAGCCCCGGGCTGCCCGAGGCACCGCAGCTCTGGGGCACCTACAAGGAGCACAACCACCAAACGCTGTCGGAGCTGAAGAGGCAGCGAGCTGCAGCCAAGCTGCTCCAGCACCCCTTCCTCAGCACCCACTTCAGCACTGGCATGGCAGGAGTTGCTGAGAACGAGGCCAAGTCGCACTTAATGGAGTCCAGGACTTCTCCCTACAGCTCCAATGGGACCTCGGTGTATTACACAGTGTCCAGTGGGGATCCGCCCCTCCTGAAATTCAAAGCTCCCATGGAGGAAATGGAAGAGAAGGTGCATGGGTGCTGCAGGATTTCCTAGTCTGGTCTGTGTCTCACCCCAGAGGACAGGAGATGTGGGTTGGATCTATCACAGTTTGCATTTCAAAGGGAGAATTTGGTTTTGGACATCCTGACTGTGGCAGCCTTGTTCATCTCAAATTGTACTTTGCCCTGCCAATTACTTCCATTGCAGCTGGATGAATAATGCAGGTGGAGCAAGGCTCTTTAGGAGGGATGCACATCAATCTGATGTCTCCTGAGTCTTGCTCCCTGGGGAAGAAGGTATGGTGTGCTGCCTCCCCATTCTTGGGAAGCCATGAGATGCCTTGGAACAAAGAAAGGATCTGAATTCAAATCTTTGTGTCTGAGCCTCTTGCTGTACGTCACTGAGCAGCTGGAAGGTGACAGTTCAGACCTGTGTTTTCACTCTTGGGGGATGCACATATCCAGCCCCCAGATGAGGTTTGCAAGAGTGGACAGAACTGTTTTCTACACAGCTGGATCCAGCACTTCCTGGGCTGGAGCAACAAGCAAGCACAGATGCTGCACTTAGGAAGTTTGCAAGGTGTTACCTCCTTGCAGTGACAGCTCACCATCACAAACTGTGCACTGGCTGGCTCCTGTTCTGCTCTGTCAGCTCGTCACTGCAGACTGCCATCAGGTTTGGAGCAGAACTTTTCCTGGAACAGGCTTCACTCAATAGGCTTTAAAACTGATGTTGCAATAAAGGGGCCCTGGCAATAGAATTTTACTGCAATAAAATACTGACAAAGGTCTATATTGGGATAAGTAATTTAAAAAAAACTTATTTGTACTATTTAGACTCTTAATTTGTTAAAACTGAAAAGACTTTTGTTGATCTCACTTTCCTATTGATTCTGTTTGTTTACTCTGTATGCTCAACACAGATAGTAGGGGCAATATGCTTTGTGTTCTGATTTTTTTCTGGATTTCCAGAACCACAGGGCTCAGGAGGGATGGGAAGGAAAGGCTTGCCAACACTAACCCAGGAAGGCCATGAGAGCATTTCTAATCCCGTAGATGTGAACGACACTTGCATGAACCTGCAGTCTTCGGCTGAGAAATAACTGTGACCATTGCTGTGGTAGCTGAACGCTGCAGCAGGACAGGAGATGCTTTGTTCTGAAGCTGTCAGCAGTGGGTAGCAGCTGGCAGAGGAAGGTTCCAATGCCTCTGTGTCTGGGGGAGTTGCCTGATACTTAACAAAGCCTCTGTGCTGCGGAGCAGCTGCAGCGCCAGCACTGTCTTGGTGTAGTTCATGTGAGCTCTGACAGACACTGGCACGGGGTCACCTGGGGGTTTGGCACTGGCTTTGCAGCAGGTTCAGGCTTTGTGTACCTGGGGGAGGTGAGAGAAGAGTGTGGGCAGCTCGGAGGAACTGGCCACACTTCACTTGTGTCTCAGAAATAACTGTAAATCTCTAACTCCTCTGCACAGAGGGGCTGTCACATACCTAACTGTTTGCCTGCATGCATATGTGTCTTCTTGGGCAGCTTAAATTCCAAACTCTGAAGACATGAACCTGTTTGGGTCTCTGTAAGCCTCAGTGGATTAAATCCAGCTCACTTAGTTGTGCTTCAGCCAAGCAACAGCAAATGCACCTTCCACCCATTTTCTTTTTATCTGGCACCTGTTGGACACCAATATTCCCTTTCACATGTACTCTCCCTCTGTGGGGATCCTCACAGCCTTAACTTTTTTCTAGGCTATAAAAAATTGACTGAGGCTGCCAGTGACTGTTATGTGCTACCCTCTGCCCCCCATCAAATCCCCCATTGCTGGGGCTGGATACATTCCCATGCAGGGCTCTGGGCTCCTCGAGGCAGCAGCTGTGTGTCACCACTGTGCAGGTGACACCTTTGGACCATGAGGTACCAGGCTGACAATTCAGTGGTTTGAATTGTAAGATGGAATTCTCTTTCCAGTTTCAGGTGCAAACTATAAAGTGGTAGCAGTTGGTGTGGTTCATTTAAAACCCCAGTTCTGCTAAAGGCAGAGCTTGAAGCATTCAGAGGAGTTGGGCTCCCTCCATTGTTGAAACATAAGCTAATTATAGAACTAGGAAATGCTTCTTGTGCTTGACCTTAAGGGATTTTTAAAGTCCTTCTCTAGTAGTAAGAGGATGATTTGGTAACTGGAAAGACTTTACTGCATCTGTATGTGGTTAACAGTGGATCTTGTGATTACCTGGAGTAAATTATTCTGGGATAACATCAAGTGTGGCCTGGCTATTATAGAACAGGGGAGATGATTCTTTCAGGTGCCTCTCTTCTCCCATGGTGGTGAGATTTGTCTCCTCACATCCATCCTGATGAGATTTCTGAACTCACTCTAACAAATTTTGGTGCCGCTATCTACTAGGTTGTATATGGTGCAAAATCTGGGCCCAGATGTTGCCTTCCCTCCCAGCAAAGGAGGAGTAGGGCCCTTTTCCTTCTTTCTCAGAGCAACTTTGTGCTAGCAAGTCTATTGAACCCTGCCTAATTCCAAGGAAATGAAAAGGAGATCACTGAATGCAATAGTGTAAAGTAGTTTGAGGCTTTTTTTCACTGAGAGCTATTAATACATTAAAACTGCAGGAAATCAGTCCATTTTAGATAAACAGCTTTTTGGCTTCCACTGGTGTTTCACATAAGTAAAACTCTGAGAACTCATCATCCTAGCTGTGAATCCAGTGGTGTCTGATCAAATGTAATCCATTCTTAACAAGACAGGAGAGTTATTAATGGCAAGAGGCGGTAATGGATAAATCTTGCAGGATATGTTTCACAGCCCTGCCAAGTAAATACCTGCCACTGGCTTTAGGCTGAAGCTGCACCAAGGTGTGAGCTGGAAGGCTGTTGAAAAATGGCCTGGAATGGATTCATGCTTCTGTGTGGTGACCTTTGGGATATAATGGTCACTGCCTGTGCAGCACTGGCAGGGCTGTTGGATGTAGGTCTGGGATGAGGGATTCCGTAAGGTGGATAATTAACTTGCTTCTGGTGGACTATTTTGTGGAGAAAAACAGGCTTTTGGGGGAATAAAAACACAGATTCTGTACATGGGCATTGTAGCAGCCTACCTCTAGGAATAATGTTTTTCACTTTAAATTTAGCGGTGTTACAACAATAGTGGGGTTTTGATATCTGTGTGTTTTAAAGGCCATCCCAGAGGAAAGCTCTGAGGTACAGAGCAGAGAGCACTTGGCTGTTTCATTGGATCTTAATGTGGCTGAACATCTGTAAAACCTAGAAATCATGCTGTGACTGGCATATCTTAGTTTATTAGAGGAGCATTTGAGGTTTTTATGATTTACTGAATGGTTTTAAGATCAATAAATATCTTATTACAGATTCAAGGCCAGATTAGAGTCCCAGTTCAGTTACCAGTGAGCCAAAGGTTGTAGTTGTTCATAGAGACTGTGCAAAGATCTGAGGATGTGAATGTACTGACAGGTCAGTTGCAGGCAGAGCTGCATGAGAATAACCCTTCCTTCTCCTCACATTTTCCTGTGTGCTGAATTTGTACTGTTTCTAGTGGTTGATGAGAGCAGCTTTACATTCCATGTTGAAAGAAATTTGTTGGTTGGCAAAAAAGGTGTCTTTCAAAACAATGTCTCTATTTTAGTGTCTTTCCAAACAATGTCTCAATCTCAGCACTGAAATGTCAGACAAGGGCTTAAGTCCCATTGCTGGGATCTGTTTGAAATCAGGCCTGGATCTGTTTCACATACCACATGATGTGATTTCAGCCCATTAAATTTCACTTCTTTGGTGCTTCTGAATCTTAAAACCCTCACAATTTTGGGAAGAACTGAGTCTAGCTGATGTGATTCTGTGCCATCTTGGAGGTGTAGTTGAAGAACCACCTGGATGAGGAACTCCTGGTAGGGAAGGAGAAGAGCATGGCAGGGCAATAGCAATAATGGCTCAGTGCAATACTCAGCGGAGGCACTGAATTCTTGAGTTTATTGAGCAGGATCTTATTTCATGGGGTGAAATGACATTACAACTCCTGTCTAGTGTCTTTTTTTTCAGTCTTGGACTCTGATTATCCCCATCATCCCTGCTGGAACTAAATCAGTTACCATAGAAAAGGGAATATCCTGAGAAAGCAATAGCACTGGTCTCCAGTGAGCCAGGGGTGAACTGTCTGTCTGTCTGCTGGAAGGTTTCTCCCTACACCTGGGTTATTTCTGTGCCTTATACTTGCTAAAGGTAACTTGTCTCTGGAAGGTTTGTGGTGACCATACAGTTCTTGCTGGTCTTTACCTTGGAGACTTTTGCCAGGGAATAACAGTCCAGAGCATGCCAGATTGTGACATTATTCTTTGCTCTTTCAATTTCTCTCCTGAGCACCACTTCTCTCTTCCTAAATACACAGAAAGGAAATGCACAGGGGCTTCATTGTATTTTAACAAATCACATTGACTGCTTTGGTGTGTCAGTTCTCTACAGGCAGAATCCAGAACATGCTTGCAGCAGCAAGGTCTCACCTCTTACACCAGAACACATTTACATTTTTTGGTTTGTTTTGCTGCGCGACAGAACAGTTCTCCCTGGTTGTTCTTCACCTTTATTCTGTTTTCATGTTGGCCAAACTGCCAATGGACTTCTCAGTTCCCTCACAAATTCAAGTACCACTGGGCTCTCTGGGCAACATCTGCCATGGCACAGTTATGACCTAGAACATTTTGCTGTATTTCAACCATGGAAGCTGTAGCAGAGGAGACTCTGCTCGAGATACCTGTTCCCAAAGCTACACCAATGCAATGATCTCCACCACAGCTGGAGGGGACACACAGGTTTTTAAACAGTGCAGATGCAGCCTTAGCATTGCCACCACCATGTCTTCAGCCTTTAGATTGCAGTGTGAGGTTGCAGGAGTGTGGATAAGCCTGGTACAGGACAGTAAGAGATGATGGCAAGCCTTCTGCAATAACTCGTAATTCCATTGATCAGTAGTAAACCATGTACAGATAAAACTTGATGAAATGTATTTTATGTGAAGAAAAAAAAAATAATGTAAGAACTGTATATTGTATTAGCAGCTTTGTGTATAAAATGGCATTTTGGCAATCAGAGTCTAATATATTTAAAACTTTTTTTAAAAAAGGATATTTGATATTGTATGGAATTGACTTTATTGCTACTGTAAGTATGAAGATGGTTTCTTAACATGTTGAAGCAATGCATAAAATCTTAAACTTTATGTAAAACTCATGCCAAAAGCGTATGTTTGACAGTATTAGCACCTGACTCAGTGTCTTTAATAGAGAGATTGAATTTTTTAATTTAAAAATGATATTAAATTTCTTTTAATAATACAAACATGCCACTGAGGGGTTTTTTGTTTGTTTGGTTGGTTGATTGGTTAGTTGGTTGGTTGGTTTGTTGGTTTATATTGGTTTGAGTTTTGGCACTCTGTTAAATATCTCTGCCTTTCAGCTGTCTACACCTAGGGGAGATCCAGAAGAGGAAATCTAGGCAGTGGGTGGGTGTAACTTTTTATTTCAAACGCAGAGCTCAGGAAGCGTTTGGACAATGCTCTCAGGGCCATGGTGGCATTCTTGATGCTACCCTGTTCATGGCCAGAAATTGGACTTTAATGAGGCTTGGGGATCCCTTCCAGCACAGAATATTCCTTGATTCTGTGAAGTGGTGGCAGCTGGAGCCGGAGACAAGCTGGACATCCAAACCAGTGCCTGCCTTCCATGGGAGGGTTCAAGGCTTTAGCTCCAGCATTTGTTAGTACGCATCTGTACCAGACCAGAGGGGCTTGATTCTGTTCAGGGCAAAAACTCCGCGATCCCTGCCCATCCCCTGAAGGGCAGCAGGGCTCGGGCTGGGCTGTCCCCAGCCGGGAGCTCCATTGAAGGGCAGGAGGGCTTGGGCAGGGTTAGGGTTAGGCGGGAGCTCCATTGAAGGGCAGTGGGGCTCAGGGCAGGGCTGTCCCGGCTCCATTAAAGAAGGGCAGCAGGGCTATCCCAGCCGGGATCTCCATGGAAGGGCAGCAGGGCCGTCCCCGGTCGGGAGCTCCTTTAAAGGGCAGGAGGGCTCTGGCAGGGTTGTCCCGGTTCCATGGAAGGGCAGCAGGGCTGTCCCAGCCGGGATCCCGCCCCGGTCCCGCCCGGCGGGGGCGGTGCCCTCCTGCCCGAGCCAACGGCGGCGCGGGGCGGGGAAGGCTCCTCCAGCGGCGGCCGCGCTGTTTGGATTCAAACTCTGCACAGAGCGATCCCGGCGGGCTCGGAGCCGCGCTCCGGCCATGGCCAACGCGTCGCAGTGCCTGGAGGAGGGCTCGGGGCGCTGGCCGCCGCCGGCCGGGCCGTACAGCGAGGCGCAGCGGCTGGCGCTGGAGGAGCTGGTGGCGGGCGGCCCCGAGGCGCTGCGCGCTTTCCTGCGGCGGGAGCAGCTGCCGCCCTTCCTGTCGGAGCCCGAGGTGCAGGACATCGCTCGGGCGGCGCTGCCGCCCGCCGCGGGCCCGGAGCCGGCGGCCGAGCCGTCGGCCGGAGGAGCCTCGCTGGACGCCTCGTCGCTCACCTACTTCCCCGAGCGCTCGGAGCTGGAGCCGCCCGCGCTGGAGCTGGGCTGGCCGGGCTTCGCCAGCGGCGCCTTCCGCGGGCTCACGCGGGTGGAGGCGCATTTCCAGCCCGGCTGCGGGGACAGCATCTACGGCTGCAAGGAGGCGGTGCGGCGCCAGATCCGCTCCGCCCGGCAGGTCAGTGAGTGAGTGAGTGAGTGAGTGCCGGAGGAGCTCCCTTCTTTGCCCTGCCCTGCCCTGTCCTGTCCTGCCCGAGGTCCCTCTCCCCTGGGTCTGCGAGCGCATCAAGAATCGGCACCGCTGCGCGTCGCCATGGGACACCCGACAAAACCATGTGGCTTTAAAATCCTTGTCGAGCAGACAGTGTCATTAAGGACGACAAGCTCGAAAATGCAGAAAAAGTGGCACTCTGCTGCTTCTGCACCTCCCTTTCCCGGGTGCTCTGGGTGATGCGCCGAGAGCTCCCCGTCCCGCAGCGCTTCTGCCCTGGCCAGCACAGCCGCTGGATCCAGCTGAGCCTGCTTTCACTGGGAGCAGAATTTATCCTATTAAAGATTCCCCAATTATGTTCTCTGCCGGACAGGTGCGCTTGCAGAAACATCCTACTGCCCTTTAAAGGGTGTGACACAGAATAAGCCTCTTCTATAAGAGAAGGTTACCTATAGATACAACACCGTGATTGTATTTTCCTTCCCTCGCTCACTAAGTGACCTACAGAACTGCTTTTGACAGGACTTTCTACAGGGGTGAACGCTTTTTTTCTGATGCACAGTATGGCTTGAAAACCACGTGGCGTAGGAATCTGTAACTGTTCCCTGTAGCTCATTGCATTCCCGGAGTTTATAGCGTCCAACAGTAATCCCAGCTGGGAACCACCCTTCTCCTTAGCAGCCATTCCATTGGCTCAGCTAAAATTTAAATCTGTAGCTTCCTTTTTGGGTGGCCAGATGAAGCAACCCCTGTCTCTTTGTGTAACGTGCACGGCACACACCCTGAATCAACAACCGAGCTCAGTCTCTACTCCCCTGCGAGGGCAGGAGCTTAGGGAGTGTGTGAGGATGACATGAACGACGGGCTCCGTGCCAGAAACGGTCCCAGAGGAAGCTCTGTTCTCAAACAATCCCTACAGGTATATGAGACCAGTCTGGTAACTCGAGTAAACACCATAAAGGCATTTATTCCCCTCAAAAGCTGTACTTGTTTGTAATATTGCTCTTGCAGCATCCTGTCAAACACCTTCCCTCACTCTGAGCCAAGAGCAAGGCAAGCTGCTCCTGCCCCGTTTGTGGCTGTGCCTGATTCAGGGAGAATTTTTGTGGACGTAAATGGGCATTTTGATACCCTGAGACTTACTGAATATCAGATTCCATATGATATTTCTCAATCATTTCTGAGTTCCTCAAGTTAATGTGAAAACTGGGAAAACTTCAGATGTTACATAATTTTTCCCTAATTAATGCACTCAAATGCAGTTAGTTCAAGTGACTGCTGTGATCTTGTCCTTGCTATCCTGAATGAATGAGTAGAGAAAAGGGTTTTCTCTCTTTCCTTGAAACATTTTAGGCAAAACTGTGTTTCTTTTTCAGCTGCTAATTCTGGGAGTAGAACTCAAATGTGCTGTGAATTGAGCTGTCATATGAAGGCATCAGTGTTCCCAAGGATTTTGTGCGAATTGTTGTGTTTTCAGGGGTGGTTTTCTTACTTGTCTGGTCTTGTCAAAAGCATCTTACTGGTTTTTAATCTTCTTCAACACTTAGACAAGTGATTGGGTGGCAAGAAACTCAGGACACACGCAAGAAGCACCAACATAAAGTAACTTTATCTAGAAATACCCATGTGCTTGTGCATGTTACGTGTCAGAACTCAGCCAAACAGCACCAGTCCCTTAGGGAGCAGGACAGAGGTGGGAGTGCAGAGCTCAGCCTGTTCCTGTGGGAAAGGTTTCCTGTGAGTACAGGCTGTGCCACACACAGAGCAGCTGTGTTGTGTGCTTATACACCTTGGGTGTGCTGCAGCAGCCTCCATCTGATAAGGGCAGGTGCCAGGTACCCACAATGGTTGTATTGTCATTGGTCTTTATACTGGTTTAATAGAAAAGTGGAAAATTCAGTCATAAAGCTGAATCTTTTATGCCTTTGTGTTCCTACACAGAAGTGGTTTGGAAGGGTGAGAGCTCAAGCACCAAATCAGTGTAGTGTGTGAGGTGGCTCTGAATTAGCTGGAGAGATGGTTCATACATGTGATACTCCCATTTTAGGATTTGCCTTTTTGAAAGAACTGTTGGGGCAGTGGAGGGATTTACTGTGAAGGTAAGGGATAGAAACTCAGAATATAGAAACCAGGAAGAGTCTGGAAATCAGCTGGGGTTTGTGAGCTCTGACAGCAAAGAGGCCATTTGAGTTAATTCCCCTGTAGCTGCTTGAAACACAGGGAGAACAGGTGTGGAGATGGTTTGTCTGGACTCCACACTCTGCTGTGACAGCTTCCCCAGTCTGGCCACACTACAGGGGGTTGTGTAGGAAAGGAGAATGTGAAAGTGTACAAAAGCAGCAGACAGAGGAAAAACCTCTTCAGTCCTTTGCATGCTGAGGCACAATGAATTTACAGGAGTTTTGTGGGAATATAAAAATCTTTTAGAGCTTTCCAGAGCCTGTGCAGCAGGACAAGGAAATGTGCATGAGGCTCTGATGATAACAGCAGGAGAAACTGGCTGGGGGAGGCAGTGGTCTTGTGTAAAATAAATCCCTTGAGTGAGTGGTGTGGCTTTCCTTGCAGGTGATTGCCCTTGTGATGGATTCCTTCACAGACATTGAGATCTTCAGTGACCTTCAGGATGCCTACAACAACCGCCAAGTTCCTGTCTACATCCTTCTTGACCAGGACTTTGTGCCCCATTTCTTAGAAATGTGCAACAATTTGGGAGTTTGTCCTGAGCAGGAAAGTGTAAGTACTGAATTAGGATTGGTGTGGTTTGTTTTTATTTTTGTGGTACAGTTTATGCACATCAAAGAAACCTTTCTATAAAGCATCAGACTGCCTTGAAAGGCTAAATCAACCTGTCTTATGTAGGAGGTACAACCATGATGTGCACCAGCACCGTGTGCTGTGTGCACTGGGATCCCTGTCCTGAGGATGCAGCAATTTTCAGGGATTGAATTTTGCAATGTTTAAATAGCTTTATTCTTTGGCTCAAGGAACTGCTTGCTAAGCAAAACAGAAACGTGGGAAGCTAAAGGGTGGCACAGCTCTGGTACCATCTGCTTTCTTTCCTAATACTTTCTTTTAAGAGGGTTTGGATCTTCCATACTGTGCTTAGCTGCTTTTAAGTAGAATTGCTAATCAAAAGTTTTTGGAAGTTAACTTAAATTTGATGTCACTTTTTTCCTTTCTTTTCTGAACCAGATGATGAGAGTTCGAAGTCTCACAGGGAGCACGTACTACATGAGGTCAGGTGCCAAAATTGTTGGGAAAGCCAAGGAGAAGTTCATGTTAATTGATGGCATTAGAGTGGCAACAGGCTCCTACAGGCAAGTATTGGGGTCTGCTGGTGCCCAGTGAAGCTGTAGAAACGGTGATTTGCTGCAAAAGATGTATTAACTTTGCTGTTTGCCCTGTGTTAATGAGGGCCAATGGCACATGGAATAGCTAAGTCCAAGTGGGGCTGACACGAATCTGAAAACACCTTTGGAAAACTGATTTACTCAACTTGTTGCTAGCAGAGAGCTTGGCCACGGCTAAATAGAGTTCTTCCTGCGTAAATGAATAGTCTGTTGACTTCATACCTTATTGTCACAGACATATTTTATGAAAAATCCTTTCCTTAGGATCTTTCCTCCTGAGAAGCTGAGAGGCTTCAGGAACAAAATGTAAGCAATGGTTATCTGCTGCTGTGGAATGCAACAGGTGGATCTGTGATTGGTCTCATGTAATTGTTTCTAATTAATGGCCAGTCACAGTCAGCTCGCTCAGACTCTCTGTCCGAGCCACAAACCTTTGTTATCATTCTTTCTTTTTCTATTCTTAGTTAGCCTCCTGATGAAATCCTTTCTTCTGTTCTTTTAGTATAGTTTTAACGTGATATAGATCATAAAATAAATAAATCAGCCTTCTGAAACATGGAGTCAGATCCTCATCTCTTCCCTCATCCTCAGACCCCTGTGAACACTGTCACACCTTATCTTCATTTTTTTAAGCTGAGTCTGGCTGTCTGTAGCTGCACTGTTGAAATGCACTGGAGATTAACTGTGAGTCTTTGTTTTCAACAGTTTCACATGGTCTGATGGAAAGCTGAACAGCAGCAACTTGCTGGTGTTGTCAGGTCAAGTGGTGGAACACTTTGACCTCCAGTTCAGGATTCTTTATGCCCAGTCACTGCCCATCAGCCCAAAGCGACCGTCCAGCTGCAGGAACAGTGGCATGTTTGATCCCCTGCTGACCAGAACAGAATCCTCCAAAGAATACACTGTGGAAGGCAACTTGAGAGCAGAATTTGCCAGACTGTCTAGCACACCAAAGAAATTGCTGGAAAAAGCAGATCAAACTGAATACACTCCTGCAGGAAAGCTTTGCAACCTGCAGCTTTCTTGCCTGTGTGAAGAGGAGTCGTTCAGCAATCAAGTGGGCACAGTGGAACAGAGAAGTGCATCAACTCAAACTGGCCCGTGGGAAGAGGTGGCAGCTGTGACCAAATGCAATGCAGCCACTCAGGCCAGCACTGCCACAGCAGACAGTAGCACTCAGGCTTCTGTCACGGCCAGAGTGACAGGCACTCAGACATCCATTTTGCTGAAGACTGCAGTGACACAGACAAAGGAAGAGGAGAGCACAGAAACACCCCTCCTTCCCAGAAAGTTTTCAAGAGAAGAGTATTTTCTGCCTGCAAAGGTCACATCCAGTTCTAGTCTGCAATCACTGTCTTCATCATCATCCCAGTGCTCTCTTCCAAGCTCTACAGGCTCAATATCCTCTCTCCGCTCTTTTGACTATTCCAGTAGTCACAGGGCACAATATTTGCAAAAACTGCACAAAGAGAGGCAGTTCCACTACTCGACCATCAGGTCGAAGCTGAGCCACATGGTGGCCATCCTGTCCCGGCGGGGCCGTGTCCCTGCCACCTACCTGAGCCAGGTCCCTGCCGGGGCCAGCCTGAAGCAGAGGCGCGACATCAGCGCCAGCCTGCACAGCCTGCGCCACGCCTCACTCTACTCCCTCAATAAATGATCCTGCCCTGACCACACACCACACAAACCCAGGCTCAAGTTGTGTCACTTTGTACCTAAGATTCTTCCACTTCCATCCAGCACTTTTATTTCTTTGATACTTTTTTAATGCGCCACTCTCCAGCACTTTGTTTTGTACTATGCAATGTAAGTGATGAAAAAGAGACATTATATAGTAACAACTTAGAGGTTTCTCTTGTATGCATTAGTGGTGAAGATCATTTTAATTTTGGGTATTTAACCTCAAAAGTGAACTTGTAACTACTTTCCAGGAATGCTAATGCCTTAGTTTTAATTTATGTAAACTTGGAAAAAACTGAGTCACACTGAACTTGCTCAGAGTAGCTTTGGAGATCTATATTAAATCAAGGAATTATATCAAGAATCTCTCAATCTTTTTTTCCAATACTGACTTTTACTTCTACTTTATCTTTGACAGGAGAGGAATCAGCTTTTACAAAGAGCCATAAAGCTGATTTTATTCTAACTTCTGTGATATATATGTTACTCTTTCACTAAAGTTGCAAAGAGTGTTGAAACAGTTGCAGGTTATCTTCAACTGTATTATATTTCCTTTGTTTAAGCCTTCTGAAACAGAATGAGCTAACTAGCCCTCTAGTTTGATCATGCTCTGGTGCCTTTGTTTAGAGATATACAAATATATATGTGTGTGTGTGTGTGCTTCCTTCTTTGCAGTGTGCTCCAAGGCGAGACAATCGCTGAAGGCAAGTGACAAAGCCCCTGTTCAAAAGTAAACTGACAAATGCACTACAGAATGTTATGGGTTATGAGGGTAATGTTCATTTACAAGTAACTGTGGGAGTTAAATAAACATATTTCTCTTTTTAACTTTGCTATCTGAAATACTCTTTCCTGCTCTATCATTTTTCCACTACTAACTTGGTTCGAGGAGCTCAAGGGCCACTCTAGTTTTTGAAGATACTTCCAATATTGAGTGGACCTGACGTTTGGTTGCTTTGCAAAGCCTTTATCTGTTTGCAGATTTCTGTGCATGTCTGTTCTTGCTGGATCTCTTACCTGAGCAGTGTGTGCAGTCTCTCCTTGAGATCTGGCCTGTTTTTCTTTAGACCTGCCTCTCAGTACTTCAGTGACCAACTACACTGAATTCTGTCAAATCAAACCAGAGTCTGGGTTATGTATCTTTTTATTCAGGGCATGTATGTCCAGTAGATGGCACATTTCAGCTGTTGGCTTGAATACTGAATGAATGAATGAATGAATAGAAATAACCATAACTCAGAAAGGCTGCAAGTGTTTAGAGTAACTAACTTTGGCATTTCTGTCTGAAATCTCTAAGGACAACAAGGCTTAGCTACTTTTACTGCTTGGATTTCTAAGCAGCCACTCCTTCACTATAGCTGGAGGTGGGGAAAAAAGTTCTGTCTGCACTTGTTCAAAACGATAAGGTACTTTATTGCTTGATTTGTCGATCTGGAACACTGGCACCAAACCAAGTTGCAGGGAGGGAGCCAAGATTACACCTTCAAAGCCAATATCGAGTTGTATTTTAAAGAGCCCAAGTCCTGCAGTTCTTGGATGTATGTAAAATTACGCTGTTTGTTCTATGTGCTTTTAAACTTTATTATACCGTGCTGCTGTTAAGGTACTCTAACAGGAACAAGAAACAGTTTACAAATAAACTCCTTTTTGCCTTGGGGGCTTTCACTTGATCATCGCTGAGCTTTGCTTTCTGTTTATTTGGCATTTTAAATCGGGGTCACTAAGTCACTTCGTCGCCACTTGGTGCTTTCCGGCTGGGACCATTTGCCCTTTCCAGCTTTTGGAGCAGCATTTTGATGCGGGCTGGGCAGCAGCACCAGGGCTGGGCTGATCCTTCCTCCTTCGAGGTTGGCGCTTCCCTGGGCGTGGGGAAGGCTGCGGGCTGTGCCACCCGTGACTGTGCCGTGGGCGAGCGGAGCCGGGCGGGGAAGGAGCGCTATAAAGAGCCGGGGCAGCGGCGGGGCGCTCCGGCCATGGCCAACGCGTCGCAGTGCCTGGAGGAGGGCTCGGGGCGCTGGCCGCCGCCGGCCGGGCCGTACAGCGAGGCGCAGCGGCTGGCGCTGGAGGAGCTGGTGGCGGGCGGCCCCGAGGCGCTGCGCGCTTTCCTGCGGCGGGAGCAGCTGCCGCCCTTCCTGTCGGAGCCCGAGGTGCAGGACATCGCTCGGGCGGCGCTGCCGTCCGCCGCGGGCCCGGAGCCGGCGGCCGAGCCGTCGGCCGGAGGAGCCTCGCTGGACGCCTCGTCGCTCACCTACTTCCCCGAGCGCTCGGAGCTGGAGCCGCCCGCGCTGGAGCTGGGCTGGCCGGGCTTCGCCAGCGGCGCCTTCCGCGGGCTCACGCGGGTGGAGGCGCATTTCCAGCCCGGCTGCGGGGACAGCATCTACGGCTGCAAGGAGGCGGTGCGGCGCCAGATCCGCTCCGCCCGGCAGGTCAGTGAGCGAGTGAGCGAGTGAGTGAGTGAGTGAGTGACTGACTGACTGTCTGACTGACTGACTGAGTGCCCAAGGAGCGCCCGCTCCCGCTCTGCGGCTTCCGGGGGCCGCCTCGTCCTTCCCCGCTTTCTCTTACTTACATATCCTTCCGTTTTAAATTACTCTCCTGTTTCGTATTGCTTTGTCTTTTCCGCCATCTTTTGTAGTTATTTTTTAATCAGGTTCATCATTTGCCAGCTTTTCCCCCTCCCAGTGTTTAAAACCGGGTCCGGGCTCTCTGGGTGCCGCTGAGTTCTCTCGGATTTGGCACCCGGAGTGCCCATTCCCAGCTCTCTGAAAGAGCCGTCGCTTCCCCATCCTGCAGAGGATCCACGGCAAATCCTGGGGTTCAGTCTATGGGGGAGATCTGCGGGGGTAGGAGCTGGCTCTCAAGGGATGTTTTATTCAGGTCTTAACTTGAAATATGAGAATCTGAATAGTGAGGTGAAGATGAACCCGACTTTTGTCTTAAACAGAGAGCTGAGATGTAAAGAGCAGTCAGACACTGGTGGTTTTGGGTTTTCTTGCTGTTTCTTTTTGTACTTGAAAAGTTGGAAGATGGGAAAACTGTAGTATTGGAAGTAAGCTCAACTTTTTCTTCTGGCAATACTTTTGAGGAAAACACATCTGTTCTTCTGAAAAAAGAAAGAAAAAAAGAATAAGACCTCTCCTGCTTAGAAAGAGATCAAATTTGCCTAACATAGGGCAAAACCAAGCTTCTAGTTCTATCTCAGGGTGAGGAAGAATACTCTTTATCACAGAAGACTGTACCATGTTCCATAACCACCTGAAAAAAAGGCAGGGGGGAATATTTAATTTGAAACTCAAATTTCTCATGTGCTATCTCCTTTGCAATGCTGTGGAAACAGCCTAATGGTTTCTTCTGAAACTCTTTTCAGATGATTGCCCTGGTTATGGATTCCTTCACAGACACTGATATCTTCACAGACATCTTGGAAGCCTGTAGCCAACGGCAAGTTAAAGTGTATATCCTTCTAGATCAGTCTTCATTTTCCCACTTTCTAAAAATGTGCAAGGATCTGGGAGTTGACCTTGAGCAGGAAAAGGTGAGCTTTGTCATATTTATAGGGGTAGGGAACTGATCATTTTATGGCTGTAAAAAAAAAAAAATGTGAAGAAATTATTATACTTGCTGCCACAACTTAAAATGGGTGTTATGTAGCTCCAGCTCTATCTTGGAAGATTTAACTATTCCTACATAAGATAGTAATTAATAGAAAATCTGAAACCTTTGTAATTGGATGTTACATCTGCTTTCTGAGTACAAATACTAATTGAAAGTTCAAGGAAATGCTGGAGGAATGTCCAGTTCCTAAAGCATGACTGGAGTTGCTTGGGCTTGTCGAGACTTTGAAGGCTGAGGGAGAAGCAGGTTCTCAGGTTCTCAGGAATTTGGATCCTGATGATTAGGTGACAGGAATTTTCACAGTCCCATTCTGCACAGTCAGTTTATGGGTTTGCCCCTTAATGTCACCTCTTTGGCCACGAAATGCTCACTTTTTTCCCTGTGGGTGACTCTTGTGCCAGTGCACAGCTCATCAGGGATGGTTGTTGCTGTGTTACTCCTTTAATGCAATAATTGAAATTTGCAGTGCACCTGACTCTTGCTGTGTGTTTAACAGCTGATGAGGGTTCGGATTATCACAGGGAGCACCTACTGCACCAGGTCAGGCACCAAAATCATTGGAAAAGTCCGTGAAAAGTTCATGTTGATTGATGGCATTAGAGTGACCACAGGCTCCTACAGGCAAGTGCCAATTTCTTTCTCTTGCTTTACATGATTTCTCTGCATAGAAAGGAAAACTGATCAGATTTTATGACCAACATTTATCCTTAAAAGAGCCCACTGCTCATCAGTTGGGTTGTAAAAACAACATAACTAAATGTGGTGAAGGGGAATTTCCAGTGAATACTTTCTTCATTGATTATTTTGAATTAACTCATCATTTTCTCCCTCTTCCTTTGCTAGTTTTACGTGGACAGATGGGAAGCTGAACAGCAGTAACATTTTGATCCTGTCAGGCCCCGCAGTTGCACACTTTGACCTGGAATTTCGGATTCTTCATTCACGGTCAAAGCCTATCAACCTCAAAGAGTTTTCTAGCTTCAAGAAGAACAGGGTGTGGGACCAGCTGTTCAGGATAACAGTGGCTTCCAGAGACATGACCAGGGAACACTTCCTGAGAATGGAATTTTTGTATCTGAGAGCATTTGTAGGAGAGCTGAAGAGGAAGAGGAGCTGGCTGCACGCCTCCAGGGAGGCAGTGTACAGCCCAAATAACACGCTGCACACCTCTCCCCCGCTGACTAAGAGGAATGGCTCCCTGGTTATGAGGCCACACTGGATCATAGAGAGATGAACTGCATGTCCATGCAGAGCAAGCAGCACAACCTCAGGAACCACGTCTGTCCATCGCTGCCCAGCACTGTCCTGCAGTGTGTTTGTGAGGGCAGCTGGGAAAGAAACCTCAGACTGACAGAAAGTGAAACT